TCGCTCAAATTAAGTTACGGTGCTCTGCATCTGTTTAGCCGTTCGCCAATATTGCTGTGCCAGCCTGGAGTTATACGGTATTCTGCCTCTGTTTTTACTGTACATTAAAGTCTGCACTTTTAAATTACGGTGTGATTTGTGTACTTTCATACATCTGTCGGCACTTCTTTAGCCAAACAAATTAGATAGATTGCGATCTAACAAACTGCTCCATATAACAAAGCAATGTAAACAAGCAACGACTAGATAACTTGGCAACAATAATTAAACGTAAATAATCTTTAAAGTTTTTTTTTTTTTATAATGCTGATGCCAGCTCTCAGTCTAGGGCTGCCCACTTCTGCACGTGTGAGGAGTCGAATGCCATGACGGCGTATCACATAAAATCAGTTACTGTACGCAATTAAATCCGTTTCATACCTTTTCTTGTAACTCAATAAAAAATGCAACGAACGTCGTCAGAGATGATTAATAATCAATCATTCTGAGCATCATTCTTGCTGGCGTTCACATCAATCCACAAATCGTTCTTTTAGTTTTTTTTCTGCTGTAAAGTTGGGCATTTTAACATGGGGAGTCTATGGGACTGACTCCCTTTTGGAGCCAGCCTCTAGCGGTCAGTCGATGAATTGCAGTTTTAGTCACTTCCGTATTGGCTTCAAGCGAGAGACACTTGAGTTGCCACTTGGTTTGGTTTGCCACTTGGATGCATGAAACCCCTTTTTGTCTGTGACCCACGTGCTAATTTATTAAAATCATTCAATGATATCTGTCACCATTGAGTATATTAGAAATGACCAAAAAAAATAAACACCAAAATTATTAATGAGAATCAGTGGGAAATGTGTTTAAATATTCATGAAAATAACATCACAATGCACACAAAAAAAAAACACTTAAAGGCAGAGTAAGGGATTTCTGGTAGCCAATGTTGATATTTGAAATCCCCAAAACAAACACGCCCCTACCCCAAAAGGGTCTTGCCCCTATTTTGATAGCTCCGCCCCACATATACGTACGCAACCCAGGCAACGATTAGTTCTGTGAAACAAAGCAAAACCAATGTTACACCGTGTCTACGGACGTGAGCGGCGCGGCGCAACAAATCCCCGACAGAAAACTGCTGCCGGGTTCTATTTATGACGTGCTGACACAAATTTCAAATGGTTTTCAACGGTCGTTTGATCGCGTCCAGTGTAGGCAGACTTTAGCTGTTGTAGACACGGTGTTACTCACCTATTGAGAAGAAACAAACCAACCTCGGCGTCCAATCGCAGGCCTCCGCTCCTTGAGTTCTCTCCAGCGCTGAAAAGCTGATCCGATATTTACACGGGTCCTACTTCTTGCCTTATCCTTCCGCAGACGTTTTCCTCTTTTGTTTTTTATCCACCATCTCTATCTTTCTGTCGCTCGGCTAATGTCCGTCCCATGCACTGAACGCGCTCTCCTCCACATCACGAGTAGACACGCCCCTTATTGCTGATTGGCTACAAGTTTGTTTTGCGATTCGGCCCGAATCAGTTTTCTAAAGTGTTTTTGAAAAATCACTTACTTTGCCTTTAATGGTCTTAAAAATAGTTTACACAACATATTTGTAGTGTGACCTGGGCACGTTATTGTGAGATTCACCGAAATACACCATGTCGCACACCATGAAATGCTGTATTTGTAGAACTGTTATCCACAGTGCTGTGTAATTTTATTTCCTGCCTTGTGTTGTTCTTTCCCTGATATCACCTGACCCCCATCCCCTCTAATCCACACTTTCACTCTGTTCAGCACGGTTGACGCTGACAAGGAACCGGAAGGTTCCACAGAGCCTCCGCCCCATCGACGAGCATGAGTGAACCTGCAGACACAGCTAGTGATGCTCCCAGCGTCACCGCAGGTGTCTCACAACTTTCTCCTTCACTGCTGTTTTTCTTTCAAATGTTTATGGGAGAGGGTTTTTTTTCTTCTAGACGTTCAGATCACCTTAACGTTTCTGTCTTATAAACAAGCCTTGAAATTACTTCTATTGAATCACGGGTTGTTGTCTGTTTTCATGACGTTGTTTCATCTGCCATGTGATCCATCATCTGTCATTGACTAATAGAGCTGCTGCTTCAGGTGATTTATAAGGTCAAATGTTTGGTTCTGGTCTGCTGCTCAGAAAAGACAGAATGAGTGTTTCAAATTGATGAAATTTGGGTAGCTGTTTGCACTAAGTTCTCATTTGTTTGTGACATTTTTAAAATCAGGTTAATGACCAGTTGTATTCTAACTGGCAAGTTGTGTCTGTTAACATTAGTTAATGCACTGTAAACTAACTGAACTAACAATAACAAAGGTTAATAAATGCTGTGAAAGTATTTTTAGTTAGTTCATAGTTAATGCATTAACTAATGTTCACAAATGAGACATAGTTGTAATTTTTTTCCTGAACTGATGTGTACGCTATATTACCGTCTTTTATGGTCGATTAGTAGTTAAGCATTTGTTCTCCACACTAGCTGTGGTAATTTCAATCATGAAATGGATGTTAATAATTTAGGGAGTTGAACTGCCATATACCACTATAATGCCAAAATTAATGCTGAAATAGTTTAATGATGACATTTGCATAAAATTACTGAACTTTTTTTCACACAGTATACACTACCTTTCAAGAGTTTGGGGTTTAAAGAAATAAATATTTTTATTCAGAAAGGATGCATTAAATTGATCAGACGTGACAGTAAAGACTTGTAATGTTGAAGATTTTTTTTTCTAATTATTATTTTTTTAAACAAAAAAATCCTGAAAAAAGTATCACAGTTTCCACAACAATATTAAGCAGCACACCTTTTTTCAACATTGTAATAATAAGAAATGTTTATTGCGCAACGAATCAGAATGATTTCTGAAGGATCATGTGACACTGAAGACTGGATGCTGAAAATTCAGCTTTGATCACAGGAGTAAATTACATTTCAAAATATGAAGAGTTTGGTTCCAAAACGCGATAAACGCCATTTTTGAAAAAATTTAGTTTCCGCCAAAATCAGTATTGTATCTGGTCGGTATTGAAAAGTAAATTTTTAATTTTACGCAAAATGCGATATCCGCCGAGTTATTCTGTCATGTTTTCTCCCTTTTTTTTCCAAACCGCGACAAATGCCAGTCTCCCTTTTCTGCAGAATGCGATATATCCGCTCAACCAAGCACAGCGCACCATTCCACGAACTCTAGACAGTAATGGCGGCGCTTTGAATACACCCGGCATCCTAGTTTTCCTCATCTACTTTGTACTTTGTGATCAACAAACAAACTTCGGGCTGCACGATAAATCGCATGCGATTGTCATGCGCATCTCATCAGTACAGCTGGTTCTGTGATTAATAGTAAATCTTTATCACGTGCTTTCAGATGGAGCGGCATTTAATACACAGAGCCGTAGATCACTGCTATATCGCGTTCATAATCGCAGATGAGTCGCATTCGATTATGAACGCGATATTGCGTAGCTTGTCAGTGTAAGTGTTTTTATTTATGCCATTAATGTTTTTGTTAATACAGCGTAGGTTATAGCACTAGTCAACTAAATGAATGTTACATGGCAAAGATGAATGCACTTTTGGAAGTTGAATGTAAGGGAAATGTCATTTTGGAATTTCTGTGGTTTAATGTGATATTGTTGTTCATGTATGTTCATGATGAAATTTTCTTTTATTGTTGTAATTCATTTATAGCATTAACAAGAAGACCCGTTGAATTCTTTTGGGAGCGATGACTGATTGAATGTATTTTTAGTCCAGTGCCTGTATATAAGAATAGTATTGACCAAGTTCAGAGGCTGTCATATGTGGATCAACTTACTATGGTGTGTATTTTCAACAGTTTCAATATGAAAAATAACTTTTATATTGATTCAATGGACTTATTGCATTTTGAAGAAAAAAAGTGTCATGGATTTATTGCATTTTGGGAAAAAAATAATACAATTTTATAATAAATCTTTGAAAATCAAAATCTGGATTTGAATTTTTAATGTTATTATAACCTAAAGATGCTATGTGAAAGTTTGAAACAGAAAATAGTGGTTTTCATCTGGCCACTTTCTTGGTAAAGAAAACACATTTTTACTCAAATTAATCAAAATGGATTTATAGCGTTTTGGAACCAAACTCTTCATATATTAAAACAGAAACCACTTATTTAAAATTGTTACTGTATTTTGATCAAATAAATTCAGCCTTGGTGAGCATAAGAGACTTCTTTTGGTAGTGTGTACTTTATAAATTTATATTAAAAAAATCTTTGTAAACAGAAGCAGTGTGTGTTATGCATTGACAAGCCTGTCCGAGCACATTAATCATTGGTTGATGCTTGATTCCAACATCTCCTGATTGATTGGTCTGTTGAAAAGTTTAGCATCAAGTGGTTTTGTTTCTTGTTTAAACTAATATCTGATCCGCTTGGAATATGATACTAATATTGTGATCATGCTGATTCTTAAGAAGTGCTTGTTTGAACAGCTTAAGGTACGATTAGTACACGATTATGTAATTCAGATGCTTGCACTTGTTGATTGCTCCAAACCTATGTAACTTTGTTTCTTCTGTGGAGTTGGAAAACATTTGACGCATTATTTGAATGATCTTTTATCTTCTGCGAAGAAACGAAGTCAGGTTTGGAACATGAGAGTGAGTAATTGATGACAGAGTTTTTATTTTGGAGTGAACTGTCCCTTTAAGGACGATGAAACTGAAACCTTGATTTTGATGTCCTTTTTGAATGAATTTTAGTTTTGTAGTTTCTGACCTTGTTCTCAAAAGCAAGAATTTATCACTAAGCGCTGTGGGTTTTAAACAGCAGTCAAACTGTCTCTCGAATTTCGACGCATTGCTCTGTATAGCAAAAAGATGTGTGAAGATTTGTCAACAGACTTTGTTGACCTTGGCATACCTTCTTTAAAATAAACCCTTGAATAATCACTCTTCCTCTTTGCGCACGACCCCCTGCTAGTGAGTTATCACTGTTTGTGTTTGTTCTGCTCAGCCCCATAATGTCTAGTGTTTCAACCTGCTTCAATTTTGAACTGTTTGAATACTGAAAGATGTGATTTTTCCATAGAAAAGACTGACCCTTTTCCTCTTTACTGCCCTCTTTCTCCACAGACAGCAAGCTGGCGGCCACAGCTGGAAAGAAGCAGAACAAGAAGAAGGTGGAGGAGGTGGTGGTAGAAGAGGAAGAGGAAGAATATGTGGTGGAGAAGGTTCTGGACAGACGGGTGGTGAAGGGCAGAGTGGAGTTCCTTCTTAAGTGGAAGGGCTTCTCGGAGTAAGTAACTAATATCAGCAAGATTTCCCCTAAAATGCATTCGTATAAGGCAAGATGCTTGATTCCTAACAAACGTGTTGACCATTTTGTCATTATATAAAGAACTCCGGGAGAATCAATGGTTTGCTAATAAATATATAGCCTATGTTTGGTTTTAGTTGGGTGGTCCAGCCCTTCTCCAATAAAAAAGATGGTATTCAAATGATTGAGAATATATTCCCTTTTCCTTAGAGAAGACAACACATGGGAACCACAGGACAACCTGGACTGTCCTGATCTCATTGCACAATACCTGCAAAAACATAAGTTAAATGAAAAGAAAGATTCTATTGGAAAGAGGAAAGGAGAATCTGACACAGATGGTGGGGAAGACAGCCGGCCCAAAAAGAGGAAAGATGAGGTTAGTTTTAATCATTCCCTTAGATGATTTTTGGTATAAAAACTGGCACATGCGTAAGTTTTATATTTTATAAAACGTTGTTTTATAAAAAATAAAAAATTTTTTTTGAGGTTTTCTTTCTGTATCTTGCTTAACATAAGACTGTGCACATACTTACTATATTTATGCATTTGCCAGGCACTTTTAGGTGTTTATTCCGTTTCGGGCATTTTATGTCCCAGGTGTTAATTTTTATAAAACTACGATGCCAACAACCTTTTTTTGTAATATGCAGATGTTTTTATTTTGCTTTCATCAGTTATAATAACATTTTATAATAAATCTTTGAAAATCAAAATCTGGATTTGAATTTTTAATGTTATTATAACCTAAAGATGCTATGTGAAAGTTTGAAACAGAAAATAGTGGTTTTCATCTTGCCACTTTCTTGGTAAAGAAAACACATTTTTACTCAAATTAATCAAAATGGATTTATAGCGTTTTGGAACCAAACTCTTCATATATTAAAACAGAAACCACTTATTTAAAATTGTTACTGTATTTTGATCAAATAAATTCAGCCTTGGTGAGCATAAGAGACTTCTTTTGGTAGTGTGTACTTTATAAATTTATATTAAAAAAATCTTTGTAAACAGAAGCAGTGTGTGTTATGCATTGACAAGCCTGTCCGAGCACATTAATCATTGGTTGATGCTTGATTCCAACATCTCCTGATTGATTGGTCTGTTGAAAAGTTTAGCATCAAGTGGTTTTGTTTCTTGTTTAAACTAATATCTGATCCGCTTGGAATATGATACTAATATTGTGATCATGCTGATTCTTAAGAAGTGCTTGTTTGAACAGCTTAAGGTACGATTAGTACACGATTATGTAATTCAGATGCTTGCACTTGTTGATTGCTCCAAACCTATGTAACTTTGTTTCTTCTGTGGAGTTGGAAAACATTTGACGCATTATTTGAATGATCTTTTATCTTCTGCGAAGAAACGAAGTCAGGTTTGGAACATGAGAGTGAGTAATTGATGACAGAGTTTTTATTTTGGAGTGAACTGTCCCTTTAAGGACGATGAAACTGAAACCTTGATTTTGATGTCCTTTTTGAATGAATTTTAGTTTTGTAGTTTCTGACCTTGTTCTCAAAAGCAAGAATTTATCACTAAGCGCTGTGGGTTTTAAACAGCAGTCAAACTGTCTCTCGAATTTCGACGCATTGCTCTGTATAGCAAAAAGATGTGTGAAGATTTGTCAACAGACTTTGTTGACCTTGGCATACCTTCTTTAAAATAAACCCTTGAATAATCACTCTTCCTCTTTGCGCACGACCCCCTGCTAGTGAGTTATCACTGTTTGTGTTTGTTCTGCTCAGCCCCATAATGTCTAGTGTTTCAACCTGCTTCAATTTTGAACTGTTTGAATACTGAAAGATGTGATTTTTCCATAGAAAAGACTGACCCTTTTCCTCTTTACTGCCCTCTTTCTCCACAGACAGCAAGCTGGCGGCCACAGCTGGAAAGAAGCAGAACAAGAAGAAGGTGGAGGAGGTGGTGGTAGAAGAGGAAGAGGAAGAATATGTGGTGGAGAAGGTTCTGGACAGACGGGTGGTGAAGGGCAGAGTGGAGTTCCTTCTTAAGTGGAAGGGCTTCTCGGAGTAAGTAACTAATATCAGCAAGATTTCCCCTAAAATGCATTCGTATAAGGCAAGATGCTTGATTCCTAACAAACGTGTTGACCATTTTGTCATTATATAAAGAACTCCGGGAGAATCAATGGTTTGCTAATAAATATATAGCCTATGTTTGGTTTTAGTTGGGTGGTCCAGCCCTTCTCCAATAAAAAAGATGGTATTCAAATGATTGAGAATATATTCCCTTTTCCTTAGAGAAGACAACACATGGGAACCACAGGACAACCTGGACTGTCCTGATCTCATTGCACAATACCTGCAAAAACATAAGTTAAATGAAAAGAAAGATTCTATTGGAAAGAGGAAAGGAGAATCTGACACAGATGGTGGGGAAGACAGCCGGCCCAAAAAGAGGAAAGATGAGGTTAGTTTTAATCATTCCCTTAGATGATTTTTGGTATAAAAACTGGCACATGCGTAAGTTTTATATTTTATAAAACGTTGTTTTATAAAAAATAAAAAATTTTTTTTGAGGTTTTCTTTCTGTATCTTGCTTAACATAAGACTGTGCACATACTTACTATATTTATGCATTTGCCAGGCACTTTTAGGTGTTTATTCCGTTTCGGGCATTTTATGTCCCAGGTGTTAATTTTTATAAAACTACGATGCCAACAACCTTTTTTTGTAATATGCAGATGTTTTTATTTTGCTTTCATCAGTTATATTTGCACCCTTTCAAATACCTTTTATGAGAAATGTGATGCATTAAGAAAAAAAGAGGAATACAGGGTTTCTGTGGGTCTTAAAGTCTTAATTCACCCTCTCACAAATTAAGGCCTTAAAAGGTCTTAACTTCAAAAAGTCATGGCATTAAATGTTGCATGCATTGTAAAAAATGGATACAGGGCTTAAAGTTCTCCGACACCGTGCCGGATCGCTGTAAAGTGAAACGTCACCAGGCCGTTGGTGCCCTCTTCAGGTATTTATTATAATACATAATGTACTTAAGTTGGTTATGTTCATATTATGCATAGGCATATTACATTGTGTATTTTAACAGTGTTGTTCAATAAAACCATGTAATTACTTGGTTTTGATATTTTATTTGAGCCTATTATTATTGCCTCATCGTTTATATAGTTTATATATAAATAGTCATACTTAAGCATGGTTTTCACTTAGGTTTATTTGTGTTACAAAAAATATCAGATTACTCAATTGTCAAAATAATCAGTAGATTACTTGATTACCAAAATAATCATTAGTTACAGCCCTAGATTAGTTAAAATATTTCAAAATACAACTGCATTGTTTTACTTTTTGTAATTAAAAGACAAATATTTTGTCATTGAAAATGTCTTAAAATAGTATTAAAATATAATAGTTGAACCAAGTGAACCACTTGGTACTTAGTGAACCAAGTATCTGTATTTTGTCTCATCTCGTGAGCATTGTCACACCCCTAGTGTCGATAAGCGTTGATATAGCTCATAATTTTCCAAGTGTATGATATAGCTTTCATTCTTCAGGTCAACCATATATTCATGAAAAAAAAATCAGTTTGAATAAGGAAAGCAATAACTTTGCCATAGTATCCTTTCAAATGTTAAAGTTGCCACAGTCTTTGCATGTGCTACACCCGCCCCCCGCAATTTATTTTCTGATACAATTATATAAACATCCTTAAATCAAGATACATTTACTTGAGCTCCATTCCAAATGTAAAATAAAGTCTTGGAAAAAGTTAACAAAATTGAGTTTATGCTTAAAACAGGAACAAATATTTGTCACTGGGTATGAAACCTTTTTTTACAGTGTGATCAAAAGGTACCATAAAAGTTATTTCCATACTCTAGTACTCTATTTGGGAGCAGATGTATTCAAGCCTTAAAAATGTATTTTTATTTTAATTTTTTTAAATGGATTAAAAAGTAATGGAGATCTTACGCTAAAATTGTGAAACCATTATTTAATTTTATGTATTAGCCTTAGCAGGACAATCTTAGTGCCACCTTGTTGCTTCCTTGACCTAACAACCATAGAGGTGGAGAATACTATCCCTGTGAAAACTAAAATTTAAAAAGTTGATTAAAACCTCACATAAATTAAGACATGCTTATCAGAAGAAAAATATTGGTGTTTTCTCAGACTAATAAGAAGTTTTTTTTTTTTACTGCATGTGAATAATAAAATACTGATGTAGTTTCTTTGTTTTGCAGCAAGACAAGCCGAGGGGCTTTGCACGGGGATTAGAGCCAGAGCGCATCATTGGAGCCACAGATTCCAGCGGCGAGCTCATGTTTCTAATGAAATGGTATGTAAAGATTAAGATTTAAAGGATTAGTTCACTTCCAGAATAAAACATTTCCTGATAATTTACTCACTCCCATGTCATTCAAGATGTTCATGTCTTTCTTTCTTCAGTCGAAAAGAAATTAAGGTTTTTGAGGATAACATTCAAGGATTTTTCTCCATATTCAATGGCGACCAACGGGCTGAAGGTCCAAATTGCAGTTTCAATGCAGCTTCAAAGAGCTCTACAAGATCCCAGCCGAAGGTGTAAGGGTCTTATCTAGCGAAACGATCTGTCTTTTTCTAAAAAATAAATAAATAAATAAAAATGTATATGCTTTTTAACTACAAATGCACTAGCTCTTCAATGCGCGTCAGCAACGTCACACATTACGTAATCATGTTGTAAAGGTCACGCACTGTTAGCTCTTCGTCTGTGTACTCCTGCTTTCTTTGCACGTTCGCTTTGTAAACACTGGGTTGGTACTTCCGCCTACGTCACGTGTGATCTTTCCAACATGACTACGCAATGCATGAAGTCGAGCTTTGTGGTTAAAAAGTATAGAAATTTTTTTTTTTTTTTTAAGAAAATGACCGATCGTTTCGCTAGATAAGACCCTTATTCCTCAGCTGGGATCATGTAGAGCCTTTTGAAGCTGCACTGAAACTGCAATTTGGACCTTCAGCTCGTTGGCCACCATTGAAGTCCATTTTATGGAGAAAAATCCTAGAATATTTTCCTCAAAAAACTTAATTTCTTTTCGACTGAAGAAAGACAGACATGAATCTTGAATGACATGGGGGGTGAGTAAAGTATCAGGAAATTTTTTATTCTGGAAGTGAACTAATCCTTTAAAAGTGAAGTGTGTAATATCTGCGCCACTAGTGTCATGAAAATAATGAACACTCCCTAACATTGATCAGATCCTGAACTCATGCCATTTAGAAGCCAGAGTTGCTGTTTTAGATTAGGCTGGATGCTCACACAAATAAAGCAGGGTTTTGTTGGCATTTTTAGCATAATTAAAGGGTTAGTTCACCCAAAAATGAAAATTCTGTCATTAATTACTCACCCTCGTGTTGTTCCAAACCCGTAAGACCTTCGTTCATCTTCGGAACACAATTTAAGATATTTTTGATGAAATCTGCGGGCTCTCTGACCCTCCCATAGACAGCAAGGTAACTACCACGTTCAAGGTCAAGAAAACAAAAATAACAACTTTATTCCACATTTTAGTTTCTACTGCATCACTTGTAGACGCGTGTTCACGACAGTATCATGACGTGAGTGTGTGGCGGTGCTGACCCAGATCTGGCGTAATGACGTCATTACGCCGGATCTGGGTCAGCGCCGGCGCGGCCACATGCTCGCGTCATGATACTGTCGTAAACACGCAGTAGAATCTAAAATGTGGAATAAAGTCATTATTTTTGTTTTCTTTGCGCAAAAAAGTATTCTCGTAGCTTCCTAACTTTACAGTTGAACCACTGATGTCACATGGACTACTTTGTCGATCATCTTGGTACTTTTCTGGACCTTGAACGTGGTAGTTCACCCAAAAATGAAATTTTGCTGAAAGTTTACTCGCCATCAGGCCTTCCAAGCAGTAGAAGAATTGTTCTTTAATTGGAACAGATTTGAAGAAATTTAGCATTACATCACTTGCCAACAGGGGATATCGACTTTTTCCACTTGAGGAAACGTTATTATGGATTTTGGACTACATAACAATTATGCTTCTAGTCAGTATTTTAGCCAGAAGCGGCGGTTTGAAGTCAAGATGCTTTGATGGATTTGTTTCTTACAAACACAAGCTTTTCACTTCACAAGACGTTAATTGATGGACTGGAGTCCATTTAGTTTTTGAATGAATTTTCATTTTTGAGTTAACTGTTCCTTTAATCATTCTCCCCCTCTGCCTATTCTCTACAGGAAAAACTCTGACGAGGCAGATCTTGTTCCAGCCAAAGAGGCCAATGTGAAGTGCCCGCAGGTGGTCATCTCATTCTATGAAGAGCGACTAACATGGCACTCTTACCCTTCTGAGGAAGAAGAGAAGAAGGATGATAAGAACTAGGCCTGTGAGGGAGAACGAGAGAGATGGCAAGTCAGGGGCTGTGTTAGACTAGTTTGGGATGGGGTGGGGGGTATTTAGGATATGGGCAGGTCAAAGATGGGGAATCAGACACCCAAAAACTCTTTTACTCTCAATGCCATAAAACTTGGACTCCAAATATATTCAGAGCAAGATATGCAGACGTGGAGTCATCTTTAGTGGGCAAAAGCGAATGTTAGTCAGAATACTGACCACCGTAAGAAACACAGGATTACTGTATTTCCTCTTTGCTTCTCTTTCTGTTGGATTATGGGAAATGGGGTATATATATGCTGCAGTAGTCATTCCCAGCTAATAAAAAGGTGGCCAACGTTTGATGAGGTATATACTAAATGCAATGGATCCTGTCTGCACATCCTCGTACCTTCTATATTTTTCTGATAAGAGATTTGAAAGTCATTTCAGTCTAAATCGGAACGTGTCACTGTGTAATGTGCTGCCCTAAGTTAAAACACAGTAAGTACACTTAAAACTGTAAAGAAAAACAAATGTACATTTTTGAGTGCATTGGTTAATTTGATATCTGAGCATAGTTTGTTCAAATCTCAGTTTTGAGTGTGTGTAGTTACGGTGTTTTGTCTTTGTTAGGTGGTATGACCTAATTTCTTAAGCCTTCTTTTTCTTTTCCATCTCATTTGTCCAGACGTCATTTAAAGGGGTCATATGATGCGATTTCATTTTTTCCTTTCTCTTTAGAGTGTTACAAGCTCTTGGTGCATAAAGAAGATCTGTAAAGTTGCAAAGACTAAAGTCTCAAATCCAAAGAGATATTCTTTATAAAAGTTAAGAGTTAGCCACACCTACCTAAAACGGCTCGTTCGAACACGCCCCCACATACCTACCTCACTATGTGGGAAGATTTGCATAACACCGCCCAAATGTTCACGCAAAGAAAGAAAGCGTAACTTTTATTCTCGCTGTAATATTGAAAAGTGAAAAGTGAAAAAGTGAAAAGTGACGTGACATGTGGCCAAGTATGGTGACCCATACTC